TGATGTGAGTGCTTAATTTCCTCTGCTTATGCTCCTCCTTAAATAGTAGTGCAGACTGGGCTTGGGTTGTTTAAAAGTAACAAACATTAGGTTTAACTAAGTTAAACCACTTTGCATAATTCAAGGTGCTTTCAAATAGGTCATGATAAGCTCAGCACTTCCTAGAATCTCGTCTGAGATAACTAAGAGACCCTAACAAGTTTCCTAAAATCTAGCCTGAGATATATCAGGTATCATAACAGAAAAAAAAAACCCTGCACGCCTAATGTTATACGATCAATATCATAACATTCAGTCATGACATTCAACTTCACTTACTTTTAGCTTTCCAACTTGCCCTGCTGAACACTTCTGCAGAATGTTCTTCATGACAGTGGAAACAAATGTTTTATAGTTTCCTAAAAAGTCTCAAAGATCCTTTTTATGAACACCAATTAAATCTGCACTTTGTTTCTAATACTTCTCTTTGGCCTGCACATACTGATGAGGTATATCCAACAGGATCTCATCAAACCAAACCACTTATGTCAAGTGATGGCAGCTCCTGCTGTACCATACAACAAATGTGATGACATTGGTCATGACATCCTGATTAAAACTCATGACAGCAGATGTATGTCTTAGCATTTGTCGTGACATCTTGTTTAACGTCAGTGCATAATCTTGTTTTACCAAAATTTAGCCAATTATAGAACCATGGGCAATCATAGAATCATGGAACTAACAGCCAGGCTTAATATTTCTTGTGACAGGTTTTGTTGTAGTTATTTATATTTTGTAAGTTCCGGTGTTTCTTTTAATGGTCTGAGTCGACCGTTAGCACAATGTTTTATGGATGACTCTATTCATCGTTAATTCCAAAATAGTCCTTTCCTTTATCAAGTGCTTCTAAATGTTTCATGTAATTAAAACATCCATGAAATTCACAACATTCGATTTTAATAGTCTTAAAAAAATCGGACTTTGAGAATAACTTACTCGTTTGACTTTACTAGCATTATCGATAAGCCCATACTTACAATACACGCCACCTATTTCTGTGACAATAATGAATTTCAACTCAGAATGACTCCCCTGTTATAACCATGACCCATTTCCATATTGAAATTCTCTCAAGCAAGCACAAGCATCTACCTATTGTAAGCTTCGTTGTTTACTAATTCCACCTATGTAAACCATAATCATTGAATTGACGGTCACAACACCATTAAGTTCAATTCTTTCACCCAATATCTCTTTTAGCTTTATCCAAAAGTCCACTTTTAGCATACATGTGAGTGATAATATTATGAATAAATTCGTCCAATCATACCATGAAGCTGAAATCCATGATGAACACCACCCAATTACGAATATACTTCGGTGACTTTAATCCATTTGCACCTTCTTCCAACCCTAATTTAAATTAATGTTCCATGAGCGAATGAATCCATTAGCCTTCTACGTCATCCTAATCACAAATTCAAGAAGCAAATCGTCTTGTTTTGATAAGGAATTCACTAGATGATGATGATCTAGCACAACTTGAAATTTGCTTGTCATGATACCCTAGTCAGTCTTCAATTGACAACCATGCTCAAAATCCATGAATAGGAAAATTGAACTGAGGCTTTTGAGAGATCTTAACCTTGATACTCGACAATCAAGACTTAATTCTTACACCCAGTTGAGTTAATCCTCAAATGAAACAAAAACCTCAGCCTAATAGGAGACCCTTATTATTCAGAAGAACCTGATCTCATGCCTTATGAAAATGAATGACCTAGGGGATAATGCATATGAATGTAAAGCAATAGTCAGTTAGGGTTAGAAAGGGTGAGGGTAAATTTTGGAGTACAACAATCTCGATAATCATTTTCTACAGATTTGAAATAATGAAGGTTAACAACCTCAATCATCAACATTTATGATGTTAAAGACTTTCATTGATCAAAATTGAAGTTGAAAAATAAAAGAGCATCTAAAATAGATTGAGAATGGAAATGAAATTGGTCTCATCTTAATCAAGATTTTATATTGATAAATTGACAATCTATAATATTTAGACTTCGTTGACCAAAACAAAAAGAAAATGGATAGAATCAAAAAAGAAAAGATAATCAAAATGTAACAAAAATAATTACAAAAGAATAAAGAAACTAATAAAGATTATTAACTAAATAATTAACAAAAATTTTAAAAGGAGATATTAATATATCAACAAGATGATTAATCACAATAAAAATGGTTGTCGAAATATTAATTAAACTAAAAAAGGAAAGAGAAGACTTGGGGTGGATGCAGAAACCTGGTTGGTGTTAATATAACAAAAAATAATCATGGGCTCATAAAAGCCCAATGACTCAACCACAAAAATTAAATAAAAAAAAAAGAAAGAGGTTAAATGGAAGATTTTTTTACTGTTGTACCCCATTTTCAAACCTTAAATCCCATAATGCCCCACTTAGAAATTTTGTTTCCAAACTACCCTATTTTTAAGTGAGTTCGTCCTTGGAATGGGCGAACATGTGTTCCAAAAAAAAGTCCAGCATGAGTTCGTCCATGCATTGAGCGAACTAGTACTGTGATGTTTTCCCTGCATGAGTTTGTCTATGCATTGGGCGAACTAGGGTTAGTTTTGTTTTTTTTTTTGTTTTTTTTATTCTGATTTTGTATATTTAATTAAAATTATTTAATTAAAACTTTTTAATATAAAAACTATTTAATTAATAAACCTATTTAATTAATTCTATATAAATACTATTTAATTAATTTTATAAAAAAAACTATTTAATTAATTTTTTCTAAAAACTATTTAATTAATTTTTTCTAAAAACTATTTAATTAATTTTTTAACTATGTAATATAAAAATTAAGTGATTAATTTAAAACTATTTAATATTATAACTATGTAATTAATTTAATATAAAAACTATTTAATTAATTTTATATAATAACTATTTAATTAATTTATATAAAAACTATTTATTTAATTTAATATAAAAACTATCTTTACAGACTCTCGGTCACCGAATGACCGAACTCAGACGTAATTTTTTTGTATAAATAAGCGTATTGCGCATCAGGAAATATCATTCGTGTCAACTTATCCGATTTATAAATATGTCTGTGCAAGCTCATGTTTTCTATGGACCTGAGAAAAAAATCAGTGTTTACCTAGATCCGCTGTGGAATTTGAGGACCGTGGTTGCAGCAATTACACAGGGTTTCGACAGCTGGGCGGTCGTCGCGTGACGGTGAGAAAAATTGAGTATCGTTGTCCATATATAACGCTTACTGATGCTAGCCCGGAGGGGACGTACATGTACTACCTAGATCGTATAGAAAATGATGAAGATGTCTATTGCATGTTTTCAACACATAGTGATGAAGTCAATAGAGGAGTCACAGATCCACTTGTGTTGGTCGCTGTTGTTTGTTAGAGTTTATGTTAGCTTCATGAGTTTTATTTTTGAGTTTGTGGAGTCACGGATCCACTTTATGTATGTGGTTCACTGTTATTGTTGTAATTTTAAAGTTGTTTTGAATTAAAAATAATTGATGGATCAAATACAAAAGTAGTACAATATAATTATCTATTCGGTCGGTTTGACGGACCGGCAACGTTGGGACATTTCCTACGCATATGACCTATTTCTCTACAAATCCCACACCTTCTTTTCTCTTTTTCTCCGTCGTCCATCTCAGTTCTAATTCTACTACTTTTTGGACGCCCCTTTTTATTTCTTCTCATGGAATCGTCGTGGCATAGAGTGTAACCTTCGTACTTTGGCCAGTTCTCCTCGTGCGCTAGTCCCAGGAAGCTTTCCTTGTAGACCTTGAATATGTTAAGTACTGTGAAGACCTCTGGAATGTGAATTACATAGTCTTTTCATATGCTAGAACACGCCGCTATCACGTGGGAGCAAGGCAAGTGAAATGTTTGAAATTTTCCACAGTCACACTTACGATTCCTTAAGTCAACGCTGAAAGTACCCGTTGGACGACCATCGTTGTAATTAATCTTTTCCTGCACCATGAAACAGAATCTTTTCCCCTGATCAAATTGCATGACGTTGTGGGTGTTAGCCTTGGCTACCTCCTCAGCCATTCCCTTGTTACAACCATCTGTGAAAACTTTCCCTGAAGATAGCATTTTGGTCCATTTGTGTCCTCGTTTACCAAATAGTGAACCCATTCGATAATATGTAGACTGGACCAATGCAGTGATGGGAAGGTTTCTTGTGGCCTTTAGTACAGAGTTTATTGCTTCTGCTAAGTTAGATGTCATATGTCCCCAACGTTGCCCTCTGTCAAATGCTCTAGCCCACTTCTCCCTAAGAATATTGTCTATCCAATTTAAAGCCTCAGTGTTGGATCTTCTGATTTCTCCGCGATAATAATTAACTGAAGCCTCCGTCAATGCGTAACCTGTATAAAAAATTGTGTGAGAAAAAATGATAAAAAAGTGCTACAAAATTTTAGATAAGCGGAATTTATTTTGTTACCCATGTTAACAAGTATTTTGCGTAGAACCTTGTCCTTAATCTCGCGCATGAAGTTCTGAGCAATGTGTCTTATGCAGTAGACATGTGAAGAGGGTGGATGTTGCCAACCGTTTTCAGGATTGTTGTATGCACTTTTTATCGATTCATGTTTATCAGATATTAGACATAAATTCGGTTGTGGTGTCACGTGTAATCTTAGGTTCCTCAGAAAAAACTCCAGGCTTCCTTTGTTTCTCCTTCGACCAATGCGAATGCCACTGGGAAAATATTTGTGTTGCCATCCTGTGCCACCACCGTCAATAGAGTTCCTTTGTACTTGCCATACAACCATGTTCCGTCTACTTGCACAATGGGCTTACAGTAGGCGAAACCGCGTATACACGGATGAAATGCCCAAAACAGACGATGGAATATTCGTTTTCCGGAGATTTGGGCACCATCACTTGATATTGCAGGTAGGGTTTGCAAATCTATAATGGTTCCTGGAAGAAAGGTTTTCATTACCAGTATCCACTACGGTAGGTCGTTATAAGATGTTTCCCAATTGCCATAAAGCGACTCTACCGCCTTGCACTTAGCGATCCACGCCTTCCGGTAAGATATAATGTACCCGTATTTTTCTAGAATATGGGCAACAATCACTTTTACCTTAAGTGAGGCGTCGCTGTTGACAAGTTCTCTGATGCTATGGCTAACCATTTCTGAACTGAGCTTCCTATGGTCTTGTGCCATCGACTTCGTAGTGCATGTGTGAGACCTAGACAGCTTACCGATAACCCATTTTGAGTTCCTTCGTCTAAATGAAGCTTTGTACTTGAACCTGCAGTCTTGTTTCTTACACTTAATGACATATCCTTCATTGTCAGACTGATACACCCAATAGTCCACACAGTGTGTTATGTGCCAATGTTGTAGAGCAAGGACGCAGGCTTCCTTGTTTTCAAACTCCATACCGATCTCTATTTCGTCACCTATATGGTTTTGAATAGCACTTCCAAACACGGAGGTTGTATCGTCATCTTCAAAATCAATATTTTGCATGTGTGTTAGCGGGTTATACAAACTTACGGGTTGTGCGCGAATCGGTTGCGTAGACGGGACAACTATATCTTCATCTTCATTGTCTTCGTCATCGCTGTCACCAAAAATATCTTGCATCCTGAACTCCTCATAAATATCATCATCACTTGATTCTCCAACCTCCTCATTTGGTATGAAAGGTAAATTGTTTTGCGTTGGTTCGTCGTCGGATGTTTGGCTCATCCCGTACCAGTGTGATTGTGTCTCCTGCGTTGGAAATGTTTCGGGATTGTCTAGTAGTCGGACATACACCTCAATTGTAGGTAATTGACCAAACATCATGTGGCACCGAAACATTGCCTTCACATCCTCGTCGTTTTGATTGGCGTCATAATGTAAAAAATCGTACACTCGTCTTCATTAAGGGTGGGATGGCGATAAATGATTTCCTCAATGCATTGTGCCAATTTTTTTTCCATTCTATCTTTAAAATGAAAAAAATATGAATTGACATGAATTTTGAAGGCGTATGTATCCGTATTGCTGAACGAGAATCCAACAGGAGTGTTTGTTGAAACAACATCGTTAAAGTGGCATGTGGTAATTATGTTTCTGTGACATTTCGGAGTTTGAATGTTGAGAAGTTTGAATTTTTTTGGTAGTATAAGGTTGAATGTTGGGGAGTTTGAATGTGGTAATTCATGCATACAAGAGAAGTTTTTAATATTGTGATTCAAACAGATATACCACGAAATGAATATAAGTGAGAATATTGGAATAATTTGGTATCAGTAGTTCTCCCACTCAAAGGGCGAACTTGCAAACGGGAAAAGCTTGAGTTCGTCCACCCCAAGGGCGAACACGTGAAGTGCAACATTGGTTCGTCCCACCCAAGGGCGAACATGTGAGGGCCTGCTAAAAATGTTTCACATGCATACAACATGGTGTAAGAAGCTAGTATTGCATGTATGCAAAAAAATGTAGGTGCCATGCAAAAGTCTCTTTAATCTATAACTTTCAAATTTATTAAACCTAATATTTTATTTTCATACACACTACTATATATTCAAATTATTTACCTCCAAATTTTACACACCAATTTTTGCTTATAATCCTCTACTCTCTATAAATTTTTACTTCTATTCCTCTACTCTCTAGCAATTTTTACTCGACAAAAATGGCATTGTTGTGGATGGGCGGTGAGCAACATGGAACAAGAGAAAATATCAATGCTAGTGTAAGTTTTTCATATGTTATATATTATTTCCCAACAAAATTAATATATATAGTTGTTTGTGAATTTATTATTCCATGGTAAAAATCGTGAGTAAATAATGTTGGTTTATCTTGTTGCAGATTAATGCCCCGAGGTTTAGGGTGCATTCACATTCTCCTATTCAAGCGAATAATAGAATAATGGCTTATCTTGAGATCGCAGGATTCGCAAACATTTCAAAAATAAATAGTTTGAAAGTCGGCTCAAGCTTAGTTGTTGCTCTGTTGGAGAAATGGAGACCCGAAACCCACACCTTTCACTTGCCAACAGGTGAATGCACCATAACACTTGAAGATACATGTATGTTACTAGGTCTACGAGTTGATGGCAAAGTTATCAACGGTCCCACCGAGGTAACAAGTGCTGTTTACATGGATTACTTGGGGAAGGAACCAAAAGAAGAAGATAAAATGAAAGGTTTTGTTAGGATCACTTGGCTTGAGAGTGAATATGAAAACCTAAAAAACAAACCTAACCCCACACAAGAAGATGTTTTATTAGAAGCTAAATTTTTTATTCTACTTGTGATCGCAACTATCTTGTTTCCCGACAAAACTCAAAACCATTTGCATTCTTCTTGGATCCCTTTCGTGGGGGATCTCATTGAATGTGGCACATATAGTTGGGGTTCTGCATGCCTTGCAAAATTGTACAGAGAAATGTGCAAGGCAGCATAAAAAGATGTTAGGAGCATGAGTGATTGTGCTCTCCTACTAACTTCTTGAGCATTCACACGCATCCCATTGTTCGCTCCTGTCAGCACAGTGTAACCCTCGTTTCCATATGCACAAAGGTATTTATGTAATATAACACTCATATATTTGTATTCAACTATGTCTAACAATATTAATATTTTTTTTTGGTCATACAAGATGGGCACAAAGGGGAATGAATTATCGTGTAACTCCTCGTTTCCATCTCCAAGGATATCGAAACGCGTTGGACCATATGCAAGAACGAGATGTAAGTTTTATAACATGTGAAAATAGTGGTCGGTTCTTCAATTTAATGGTATCTTAATTTTCTTTGTTATGCGACAGTTTATATGGAGGCCGTACATTCAGTACCCGGTGCCGCGTCTAGAAGATAGTCAAATATGGAGTGCAACAACTTACCTTATTTGTTTCTACATCGTTGAGATGCATCAAACAGATAGGGTAAGACTCCAGTTTGGCTTAGACCAGCAAATCTCTCTTCTGCCTAAGTGTCTAAAGGAACATCACGCAATGACCATGCGAAAAGCGCAAAAGGTTCATTGGCGACAGTTAAACAAGGAGGAGGTGCGAGAATGGAGACACAGAAGAGATATGATTTTGCAGGGGAGCACTGTATTAGGTGAACGCAAGCCAAGTCAAGAGTATTTAACTTGGTTCCGTGCAATTCCTTATGTGCATGTTGCTCTGGATCAATTTTTGACCGACCCACGAACGCAAGCATCATCATCGACACAACCAACTGCCGCATCAATGCATCAGGATGGGCCACCAACCTACACCTCTTAATTTGGGGGGTACGCGTCCTCGTCAGCTCAACATAACTATAACTACCCCCAGTACAACCAACAATATCAGCCCCAACCCTACCTCCGACCACCCAGACAACTCACCCCATGCCCACCCCCAACTTTGACCAAACCAACCCTTATTTCCCATATCCTACATTCAACACGACCTTCTCTCAACCCGCCTCAACCTTCACGCCTGATGACGTCTACATTCCAGCCATTCAACAAACCCAAGCCGAAACCTACCCACAACCACCACAACCATCACATTCATTCCAACATTTTTTGCTGACAGAGGAGCAACTGATGCAAATGCCGGATTTTAACATCGATGATATTCTCGATGATCAACCAGGACCCTCTTCAAGGCAGACAAACCCCCCGACAACACATCACAATGAAGATTTGTCTTCCGACTCATCTCAATCAACTGCAAACGAGCGTTTGGGCAGAGGATACCGACAGCGAAGGCCCCCTAGGTGTGGAACTGGGGGTCATCTTCGATGATATTTATATTTATTTAATCAATTTTATTGTTGTAATTTAATCTTGTAATTTATTAATTATTGCAGTTAAAAATTGACTTGATTTTTAATTATCGAATATACAACTAATTAATTAATATATTAAAATTATATTTATCAAAATCTTTAAATATTAACATTAAAATTAAAATTAAAATTCAAAATCAAATTCAATAGTTTTTATTAATTAATTAGTTTTTATATTAAAAAGTTTTTATTAATTAATTAGTTATTATATTAAAAAGTTTTTATATTAAACTTATTAATTAAATAGTTTTTATATTAAATTAATTACATAGATATAATATTAAATAGTTTTAAATTAATCACTTAATTTTTATATTACATAGTTAAAAAATTAATTAAATAGTTTTTAGAAAAAATTAATTAAATAGTGTTTAGAAAAAATTAATTAAATAGTTTTTTTTATAAAATTAATTAAATGGTATTTATATAGAATTAATTAAATAGGTTTATTAATTAAATAGTTTTTATATTAAAAATTTTAATTAAATAATTTTAATTAAATATACAAAATCAGAATAAAAAAAAAAAACTAACCCTAGTTCGCCCAATGCATGGACGAACTCATGCAGGGAAAACATCACAGTACTAGTTCGCCCAATGCATGGACGAACTCATGCTGGACTTTTTTTTGGAATACATGTTCGCCCATTCCAAAGACGAACTCACTTAAAAATATGGTAGTTTGGAATAAAATTTTCAAAGTGGGGCATTATGGGATTTAAGGTTTGAAAATGGGGTACAACAGTAAAAAAATCTAAATAGAAACCATCAGCAACACAATATCCTCTCTCCTTAAACTCTCATCGTCGGTGTCCCTCGTGTTTCTCACTCAAATCTCATTCTTTTTCTCGCTCAACATTCTCTGGTTATGTTCAATTTCAGGTTTGTGATTTTGGTTTTGTATTGTAACTACTCTTCTTTTTCTTCTTATTTCTGGTTCTGATTTTGGTTTGATTTGTGTTGAAGGATGGGTTGAGGGATGAAAGGAGAGAAAGGCACGATTTTTTCAATTTCTGCAGAAGACCCCCTATCACTGCTGATTTCACTATGTTATCGGTTCTGTGAGTTTATGGGTTTGGAAATTGGTTGTTGTTTGGGTGTTTTGGTGTTGATGATTTTAGGGTGGGTCGAGTGTTGAAAAACTGTGGGAGTTTCGGGAAGAAACTTGCAGCGTTTTGTTAGCTTCCACCGTCCCCCTAATGAAGGAGAGTTATGGTTTCTTTATAGGCGAGGGTAAGGAGTATTTAATTGTAAATCGTTGTTGCGTTTTGGCGATTTCATACGTGAATCGCGTGCATATGGATTTCGTGGGACCATGGATGATATCGTGTGTTGCTGTGTTTTACAGGTTGTCCACTATTTTTGTCGTACGGATTGCTTTTGGTGCTTGCGCTACATAATATGTGGAAATTGGTTCATTGTAGGGTGGGCGTCTTGTTGGTCATGGCTTTGTTTTGGAGGATGGTTTAAATTTTGCAGAATTTCCAAGGTTTTGCGCAAGGGTGTTATGGTCGGTGTGAGGTCATGGGCTGTCTTCACTTTGTTTTACATATTAGAATTTTGTAACTTTAATGGCTTGTGATTGTCTGGTGTATAATTAAGTGAAGGTTTGGTTATTCATGGTATGCATCTTGTGTAGGCATGTTACGAGAGTGATTTTGAGTATTGTATTGAACCGTGTGACTTTATGAAGGTTGTAATCCAATTTAATTTTTTTTGTAAATTTCTTATGGGCTTCTAGGCCAAAATGATGATGGGCCTGATGACAATTTTTTTAAACTTTTTTTTTGTATCAAATGGACTCCCTTTTTTATTCAATTGGGTTTGAAATTGATAATGAATTTTTATAACGAGAAAGTGGTGATAGACTTGACTTTCGAACTTGAACACGAATATTGGGAAATGAATATCGAAACAAAAATAGATAATGGAATTGTATATGTGAAAATGGATATAGATATGAAACGGATAATAAATAATGGAGAATGGATAGTGGATTCGAACTATGAAAATGAACTCTTATCTTAAAACCATAGATGCACACTTGGACTGAACTTAAACCACCACTACACTTCACCAATCCTTGAATTAATCTGGACAAAATGAACATGAAGAAGTTTGGATCTCTAATGATATTTAACCAAGAAAAACTGATAACAACTTGACAACTTGATCCATCCACAATTGACCTAACCTGGCACCCAACCCTAATTGGAACATCGGACACACACCACTCAAATCAAGCCTATCTTAACCTTGATGCTCTTGTACCAATCCTGAATTTAGTTACTAAGAAGAAACAATATGTTTTTTTTTTGGATTTTTTGAACAATGGTTAGCAGGTGGATGTACAGATGAAAGTGATATACAAGATAAGACAAATTTGGGGTATGGCACCTGCCCCAAGTTGAGTGTGAGGGTTTGAATATCTGAAGGAAACTACTACTTCTAGACTCAAAGTGGTTAACTAGGGATTAAATCTTTGTCTCTCCAGTGTTTGGGAAATTGAAACAATGCATGTACACCATCGACGAGATTCTGTCTGAAAGCATATGGTTTGCAGTTATAGGTATTTCGTTTTCATCCTCCTCCTTCCAATCATAATAAACAACAGTTGAGAAAGAGTATAATATGGACAAATGTGTCGGTGCTTGTGATAAAAATGAGTGAATACGACATAACTAATTCAAAGCATCCATAATCACTACATTAATAAAACCAAATATGAATGGAAATGTTTAAAGCATACAGTACTTAAACAAATAAAGACAAAATACAAGAAATGCAAAAGATGAAATGGCATGACTGCATTCTTCGCTGTCCTTCGGAGCCATACTCTAAAGTTGAGTATGATTTGGAGCAAGGTCGGTGTTGTATTTGTACTGCTTGACAAACGCATTAGCTAACTCAGCCCAAGTGCACACACTGCTACGCTCCAGCTAAATATACCATTCGAGAGATGCTCCATGTAACACCCATTTTAATTATTTAGTCTTTTGGTGTTATTTTATTTTTGGTGTGTCCTTTGTGTGGGGTTGTGTCTGAGAGCGTTGTTGGGTGTCCTTAATTTACAGGAATTATTTAATAAAATATAGAGTTTAATAATAATATAATATAATTAATAATGATGATAATCTAATAATTAGTAATATTATTATTATTATTATTATTATTATTATTATTATTATTATTATTATTATTATTATTATTATTATTATTATTATTATTATTAGATTAATGAAATGAAATAAGGATTAAAAAGGGGTATTAGAGGAGTTTGGGGAGAAAGGAGAGATCAAAACACGATAAGTCAGTTTTAGAGAGAAGAGCAAAGAGGAAGAACAAGAGGAAAGGAAGAAGGCTAAGGCTAATGATTCTTGAAGGTTCTTCGTCAATCGGAGCATTAATCGAGGTAAGGGGGAGAAACGGGTTAAGATTGGTAAATTGCATGAACAGGGTAGAGGGGATTCCTTAACCCCGTAGGAATTTGGTGAATATGAATTATAAATTGAAAAGTTGATGATTGTTGTTGTTGTTATGATGAATTGGATGTGCATTGATGTTTTTATGAGCATGGCTGCCATTGATGACTTTGGGTACGTGTTGTTGGGAGATTGGTGAAGTTCTGAGTAACTTCTGTAGTTCTGATGATGAACATAGGTGTGGGGTCTGGAGTTAAAATTGATAGAAAATGATACAGTAGTGTTTATTGGTTATAGTATTGATAGGACTGAAGATAGAAGTAGAGTGATAGGCTTGAATTTGAGCAAGATAACAGTTCTGGACTGTGAGGGTTTTGGGAGATTCCAGAACTCGCTAGGCGAGTAGCTGGCGAGCGAGCTAGTGAGCGATTCGCTAGGTAGTTTGCTAGGCGAGCTAGTAGCGAGTGGTCGCTAGGACTTTGCTAGGCGAGATGGGTAGCGAAGGCTTCGAGTAGCCACTGTCTGCCTTCGCTAGGTAGTTTGCTAGGCGAGCAGCTAGCGAGCGTTCACTAGGGCTTCGCTAAGCGAACGAGCCAGCGAGCGTGACAAAATGTGTGTTGTGCTGTTTTGCGTTGTGATTTGTTTTGTAGGATCCCTTGGGCTGGGACAGGTACAGATGTGGTGTTTAGTGGTGAAGAGTATATACTTGGTGTTAATAGGTGGAATTATATAGTATTGAATTTAATTAAAATAATTAAATTGAGGTGTGAGATGTGTGTGAGGTATGGTGAGGTGATCAGGGGGATCGTGTGACTTTAATTAAAATAATTAGTTGATGAACAATATGTATGTATGATGTATGATGATGTGATCAGGGGATCGTGTGCACCTTGTGTGCTTGAGTTCATTTGTTGTGCATTTGGTGTTATGCATATCATGGTGTTTGGTGGGACGAATCATTGCTCAAGAGGAGTGTATGTGATTCATCCGTACTCTATTACAGAGAATGGTGGGGATAGATCATGGCCAAGGACGGGTGTATGTGATCTATCCGGGGTTCGATTGAATGAACCAATGAGTCGGTACCACATGCATGGTGTTGAGTTGCATAACTGCATTATGGTGTGTTGTGGTGTTGTTGGACAGTAGGTCGTTTTGATGAATGTTGGGTGATATTTTATATGATTGCTACCTTTATTTCATGTATTGTATTACTGATAATTTTGATCATGTTTTCTCACCCCTTTGTTGTTGGTGTGGTCTGTGCTTCTTCGGAAGTACAGATAATCCAGGTACTTAGCTAGCTTGGATAGTGGTGTGTGAGTCGAGTCTTAGGATGCTCTGATACGTAGCCGTGACTTGGGTGTTTATTTGTTTTACGTTGAACTTGTTTTATTTCCTGTGACGTATCATGTTGGTGAACATTTTCATGAACCTTTTTATGTAAGTCGGCGGATGGCGGAGAATGATGAATTAAGGATTATTTCCGCTGCTTTGTTTTGAAAACCTTCTAATGAAGAGTATTATGGATTAT